CACCTCTCCAGTTGAGAGAGAAGGATGTTGTGGGGGACCATGTCAAAGGCCTTACAGAGGTCCAGACAGACGACATCTGTAGCCCTTCCCATGTCCGCTGATGTAGTCACTCCATCATAGAAGGCCACTAGGTTAGTCAGGCAGGACTTGCCCTTGGTGAAGCCATGCTGGCTGTCTCAAATCACCTCCCTGTCCTCCACATGCCTTAGCATAGCTTCCAGGAGGGTCTGTTCCATGATGTTCCCAGGCACAGAGGTGAGACTGACTGGCCTGTAGTTCCCCGGGTCTTCCTTCTTTCCCTTTTTAAAAATGGGGGTTATGTTTCCCCTTTTCCAGTCAGTGGGAACTTCACCTTCCTAAGGGACTTCCTTACACCTGTACAGCTGAGCGCACACCTCTGAACTCCAGATCTTACCCAAGGTGTGCGGGGCTCTGGCACTGCAGAGGAATCGGAAAAATGTCCTGGCTTTGCTACTTGCAGTGAGAGGTGGGAAATAAAGTGCTCAAGTTAGCAGTGCACTTTGAACTCTGAGTCAGGGATGAGTGGATCCGAGAGCTGCAGCACTCCTCTCCTCCTTAAGACATACTCCTGCAGAGAGGTTACAGCTGGTGTGGGCACGTTAGGGAATTCGGTACGCTGACAATTCTGCATTGTTTAAGCTCCCGGTCTTCACATTTAGGTATCGATTGCACAAAAACCGGCACCAGATTATTAACCAGCCTAAGAAGGAAGGTCAGACAGGGACTTTGGGCTCCTTTAAAATGGCACCCTGGATTTGGCAGGTTCCAGGTCAAATGGCACATTTGCTAGGAGACAGACACGCCAAGCGTCACCAATCCGGCAGGTCTTGGCTGCTAACTTTGTTGGACTCGATGATCTTAAATGTCTTTTCCAAACTAAATGATTCTATGATTCTAACCACACATCAAAAGGGTCTGAACTGGACCGCATCTGGATAGTCGCATCGTTGATGCTAGCATTCAAGCTCTTGCTCCCTGATCACCTTCATGTCCTCCATGGTAACTTGCTCTCTAGCTCTGTAGTGGAGTGAGCCCGTAACTCTCCAGACAACAAAAATCAGGCACAGAAACAGGAGGCGAAGTGATAGGTTTACACTCAGATTCAGCAGGCTGTGTAGTTTTATGTGGCTTAAGAGTATTGGTCCTGCAAGCTTGAGAGTTATCAAAGACAGTAATAAGCAGTCATGAGATAAATACACAGAATTAAAGGATAACATCACTCGAGGAATTAATGTTTTGTTAAGCACTCATTTTAAAATTTTCAGGGAAAAAAATACAGACAGTAATAAAAGTGAAAAGACCCCTCAAAGTACCGTTAACAGTTCAAGGTTTTTGCCTGCAGAAGATACTGCTAGGACAAGCACTCAGCTCCGACGCTGCTTTCTAGTTTGGGATCTTACACCATGACAGCAGGAATTACCCATAGCAGGGATCCAACAACTTACATTTCAGGTCTTTGGGACTCCTCCAGTATTAGATGGGACTCCCCATATCTTTCCAGGGCACACAAGCATACCCTCAGGCTAACTGCTTGCAAGCCAATGGCTGTATTATTTTAACAGAAGAGATTTAATACCATATCCTCTTTGTACCACAATACGATAACCTCAACAGCCTTAACCGAGCTTACTTCACAGTCCAGAAAGCTCAATTTTTTGTTGTCTTTATCTTAAAAATGAGCTTATTGAACAGGATACAAATTTTATCAATCATTTTATCAATCAATTCTAATTGTAAGAAATTATCCCAAAAATCCTGTCATTGGAAGAAACACCTATGGAACCTTAAAAAGAAGAAAAAAAAGAGTTTAGAAAGCATTTGGCAGCTAACTAATTGCTTTATATCAAATGTTTGATCTAGTTGTGACTAGATAGATAGTGCTAGCTATACTTAGTAGCCAGTCATGGTTTCAATCTTAAGCAATATTGCTTTTAAAAAGGTCCTCACTTCAAACATTTGTGATTTGGGCTAATGGCTTGCTGAATTCAAAAGCTTTAAATCTGTTTAAAAGAACCAAGTCTGGTATTTCCCATGCAGAAAACAAAAACCAGAGGTAGCTCAGCTGCCAATAAGGAAACCTTCACAGAAAATCTTTATGGTCCTTCTGATGAGAGCTAACAAAGACACTTTTGTTGTTTGGGGTTTTTTTCCCCCTTCCCCCAATCCCTGGCATCCGCTGCAGCAGTTTCAGCTAAGTTTCTAGACAAAAATTTGAAACGCACCTAAACTGACCATGATAATTTTTAGTCTGCCTTGGCTCATATCTGCAAGTGCTACAGACATTTCTTGGAAGTCCCATTGTTTGCTCAGCCTTCATTGCTACCAACCCCACTTTCTTCCTCTTTCCTGGTTTGCTCAACTGTCGTCTCAACTTTTTCTACAATTCAGTGTCTTCTAACTTGTTTCTTTTTCAGTTCTCCTTTCTAAAACCTTTTTTTCTCTACAATTCTGCAAGCTGCTTTTCCCTTCCCCCTGTCTATACCCCTCAAATACTTCTCAACAGCATAACTGATCTCCTCTTCAACAGATCAAATTTAATCTTCACAAATTCACTTTCAGAGCCTGGCCTATTCATTTACTTTCTGTCTGGCCCCATTTTTTTCCTTCCTGCTGACTCCATGTTGTTATCTGCAATCCTCCAGGAGCCTTGCTATTGCTTGCCTTCCTTTCTCTTTTGCTTTAGCACATCCACTCACGATGCTCTTTTCTGCCCCCTCCCTGCCCCCAATTTCTTTAAACCCCACTTTTTTCTCAGCAGCTCCAAGATGCTGACCTGATGTGGCCCCATTGCCCACATCTACACACATGGGAGCTCTGTGACACTCTCAGAGGCAACACCACATGTAAATACATCAATGACAAGATGCTGCCTAGAGTCAGTGGCAGTAAGTTATGAACCAACCCTTGAAGTGGTTTATACATGAACCAAATGCACACTCACATATGCACTCTGCAGAGGATAATGTCCGATGGGCATGATCCTGCTATTGCTGAGTCTAAAAAGTTTAAATAGGGTGATGTTCCTCTTAATACACACATGCATTTTAAAACCAATTGTTAGATAACACTGAAAGATGAAAAGAACAGATTATTCCCTAAATACTGGACACAGACAGTTTCAGAGAATTGCTACGCTAGTGTCAGAGCTGGTCAACAACATCCGTTTATTTCAGACTGAGAGAGAAAGTGAATTTAATACCTCATTCCCACTAATCCTATATTACACATTCTTCAGATTAGGAGTATTCTCCTACCTGTTTAATTTAGCCACCTCCCAGTGTGGATTCAACTAAGTAGGAAGGCATTTTTTTCTGGGATAAATATCTACATACTGAATTATTCAAGATTAATAAAAACCAGCTTTACTGTCTATAAACGTGCTTACTATCCACAGAATGTTGCCTTAGTTGAGTATTTGAGGACAATCCACCATTCTACTGAAGACTGATACAGAGTACAAGAGCCAGCAGATCTAAATTTCCTGATATTTAGAACCACACCCAACAAGACATTAGTTAACAAGTCCTGACAAGTATATTAATTT